AGCTTCATAAATGAAGGAAAAATACAGTCTTTTTTCAAACAAATGCTGAGAGAATTTGCCATTACCAAGCCAGCACTACTGACTGCTAAAAGAACTGCTAAAAGGAGCTTTAAATCTTGAAACAAATCCTCAAAATACACCAAAATAGAATCTCCTTAAAGCATCAATTTCACAGGACCTATGAAACAACAACACAGGAAAAAAAAAGAAAAAAAAAAAAAAAGCAAGATATTCAGTCAACAACTAGCACATTGAATAGTACCTCACATCTCAGTACTAACATTGAATGTAAATGGTCTAAATGCTCCACTTAATAGACAATGGCAGAATGGATAAGAATTCACCAACCAAGTATCTGCTGTCTTCAAGAGACTCACCTGACACTTAAGGACTCACTCACATAAACCTAAGGTAAAGGGGTGGAAAAAGATATTCCATGCAAATGGACACCAAAAGCAAGCAGGAGTAGCTATTCTTATATCAGACAAAACAAACTTAAAGCAACAGCAGTTTAAAAAGGCAAAGAGGGACATTATATAATAATAGGACTTGTCTAACAGGAAAGTATCACAATCCTAAATATATATGCACCTAACATTGGAGCTCCCAAATTTGTAAAACAGTTACTACTAGACCTAAGAAATGAGACAGACAGCAACAATAGTAGGGGGCTTCAATACTCCACTGACAGCATTAGACAGGTCATCAAGACAGAAAGTCAACAAAGAAACAATGGACTTAAACTACACGCTAAAAAAAATTGATCTAACAGAAATTTATAGAACATTCTACCCAATAAATGCAGAATATGAATTCTATTCATCAGCACACGGAACATCCTCCAAGATAGACCGTATGGTAGGCCACAAAACAAGACTCAACAAATTTAAGAAAATTAAAATTACAGCAAATACTCTTGCTACAGTGAAATAAACTAGAAATCAACTCCAAAAGGAACCCTCAAAACTATGCAAATGCAGGGAAATTAAATAATCTGCTCCTGAATAATCATTGAGTCAACAATGAAATCAAGATAGAAATTTAAAAATTCTTTGAACTGAACAATAATAGTGACACAACCTATCAAAACCTCTGGGATAGAGCAAAAGCAGTATTAAGATAAAAGTTAATAGCATAAAATGACTACATCAAAAAGTCTGAAAGAACACAAATAGGCAATCTAAGGTCACACCTCAAGGAACTAGAGAAACAAGAACAAACCAAACCCAAACCTAGCAGAAGAAAAGAAATAAGCAAGATCAGAGAACTAAATGAAACTGAAACAAGAAAAAAATGTAAGTCAGAAACCAAGTAGACAAAAGAGAACTAGGCAAATCCTAATGCCATGGAGTCTATCAAAATGTCAAAAAGAAAAAGCAAGCCAAGCATCATATCTATATGGTTCACTGCTGCATATATAGGCATTAATGTTTATTACATGAATAAATAAGCATTGAAGAGTTTTTATTGCTTTTTACTTGCTGCTCGAGGACTATAAAGACTATCACATTCACATAGCCTTGATTCTAACAAAATAAAATCTGGGCCAGGTGCAGTGGCTCACGCCTATAATTCCAACACTTTGGGAGGCCAAGGCAGGCAGATCACTTGAGGTCAGGAGTTCAAAACCAGCCTGGCCAACATGGTAAAACCCCAACTCTACTAAAAATACAAAAATTTAGCCAGGCATAGTGATGCACGCCTGTAGTTCCAGTTACTTGGGAGGCTGAGGCAGGAGAATCCCTTGAACCTGGGAGGCAGAGGCTGCAGTGAGCCGAGATTGTGCCACTGCACTCCAGCCTGCCTGTGTGAGAGAGCAAGACTCCACCTCAAAAAAAATACATACATACATAAATAAACCATCTGATTCACTATAAAAGGAACATACCACAAAATAATAATGGCCATATATGACAAACCCACAGCCAACATCCTTCTGAATGGGGAAATGTTTAAAGCATTCCCCCTAAGAACTGAAACAAAACTATTCACCACTTGTATTCAATATATTACTGGAAGCCCTACCCAGAGCAATCAGGCAAGAGAAAAAAAATAAGAGGCATCCAAGTTGGAAAAGAGGAAGTCAAATTATGTCTGTTTGCTGATGATATAATCTTATACTGAGAAAACCCTAAAAACTCCTCCCAAAAAAAAAAACTCTTAGATTTAATAAACAAATTTGATAATGTTTAAGTAGATAAAATTAGTGGCATTTCTATACCCTAGTATCAAGCTGAGAACCAATCAAGAAGGCAATACCATTTAGCTTAGCTACAAAAACCAAAGTACCTAGGAATACATTTAACCAAAGAGGTGAAAGATCTCTACAAGGAAAACTACAAAACAGTGATGAAATAAACTATAGAGAACACAAACAAATGGGAAAACATCCCATGCTCATGGATCAGAAAATTAATACCGTTAAAATGACCATACTGCCCAAAGCAATCTATAGATTCAGTGCAATCTCTATCAAAATACCAATGTCATTTTTCACGAAATAGAAAAAATAATCTTAAATTTTACGTGGAACTAAAGGAGCCCAAATAGCCAAAGTAATCCTAAGCAAAAGAACAAAGCTGGAGACATCACATTATACGGTAATATATCAAATTATACCGTAACAGTAACCAAAACAGCATGGTACTGCTATAAAAGTAGACACATAAATTGGTGGAACAGAAAAGAGAACTCAGAAATGAAGTTTCATATCTATAACCACTTGATCTTTGACAAAGTTGACAAAAACATACACTGGTGAAAGGACACTCTTTTCAATAAACGGTAAAGGGAAAATTGGACTGCCATTCGCAGAAGAATGAAACTAGACCCCTATCTCCCACCATATACAAAATCAACTCAAGATGGATCTAAACTTAAATGTAATACTCAAAGCTTTAAGAATACTAGATGAGGCTGGGCGCAGTGGCTCACGCCTGTAATCCCAGCACTTTGGGAGGCTGAGGCAGGCGGATCATAAGGTCAGGAGATCAGACCATCCTGGCTTACACGGTGAAACCCCGTCTCTACTAAAAATATAAAAAAATTAGCCAGGCGTGGTGGCGGGCGCCTGTGGTCCCAGCTACTCGGGAGGCTGAGGCAAGAGAATGGTGTGAACCCAGGAGGTGGAGCTTGCAGTGAGCCAAGATCAGGCCACTGCACTCCAGCCTGGGCAACAGAGCGACAGTCCATCTGGAAAAAAAAAAAAAAAGAATACTAGATGAAAACCTAAGGAAAACTCTTACTGACATTGGTCTAGGCAAAGAATTCATGACTAAGAATTCGAAAGCACAAGCAACAACAACAAAAAAAGGCAAATGAGACAACTAAACTAAAAAGCTTCTGTACAGCAAAAGAAATAATCAACAGAATGAACAGCCAACTTGAAGAATAGGAGAAAATATTTGCAAACTGTGCATCCAACAAGGGACTGATATCCAGAATTTACAAAGAACTCAAACAGATCAATGACAACAAAAACAACAAACAATCCCGTTAAAAAGTGGGCAAATGACATGAATAGACATTTTTCAAAAGAAGACATACAAATGGCCAAATGAGTATTATGAAAAAATGGAAAGTAGTGTGGAGATTTCTCAAAGAACTAGAAATAGAACTACTGTATGATCCAACAATTCCACTACTAGGTATATACACCCAAAGGAAAAGAAACCATTATCTCAGAAAGATACCTGCACTCATATGTTTATCACAGCACAATCCACAATAGCAAAGATACAAAATGAACCTAAGTGTCCATAAATGGATGACTGGATAAAGAAAATGTGGTACACACACACACACAAACACACACACACACACACACACACACAGTGGAATACTAGTCAGCCATAAAAAAAGAATGAAATAATATATTTTACAGCAACATGGATGAAGCTATTATCTATCTTTCTGTTTCTGAGTTGTTTCACTTGAGATAATGAAAGCTATTTATAGGTAGGAGCCAAATGTATAGGTGGGAGCCAAATGTGTACACATGGACATAGAGCGTGAAATAATAGTTACTGGAGACTTGGAAGTGTGGGAAGGGGCTGAAGGATGAAAAATTGCTTAATAAGTACAATGTATAACTATTCAGATAATGGTTACACTAAAAGCCAGACTTTACCAGGATGCAATGTATCTACGTAACGAAACTGCATTTGCACCCCTTGAACTTATACAAATAAAAAATAAAAAATATATAATTCCAAGGACCAAGCATAAGAACTTGATATCACCTAATGGAGAAATAGAAGAATTGCTAACATCAGGTCATGAACACCATAGATTTCGTGTTTTTGGAGGTACTGTTTCTACCATTAATACGAATACCCTTTCCAACCACTTTATTTATAATATATAAGTAATGTAAACTAAAGGTTATTAAGAGACCCATAAGTATCTGAAATTTTTAGGAATAGATACAAACAGATTTCTGGCAAAAAGAAGAAAGCGCTGTTAAGGATGAAGAAGAAAACAGATGTGAGATTTCAACAGAAAAAAAAAACACGCACACAAACAAAGTCATGGGAGTAAGAATTATTTTGGCATGTATGAAGATTTATGACTAATCGGAGTATGGGGTTCTTGCCTGGGAAAGGTACTGTGATAAAGGGAAGAGTGGTGAACAAAATTATGAAGGGATGAAGAGGCTAAGCATGAGAGTTTGGCCTAGACTCATTTGATAATAGGAAGAGCATCCAAATTCTTGAGCAGGAAGATGATATGGTGAAAATAGTATTTTAAGAGAATTAGTCTAGCAGTTAATGTGCAGGAAAAACTAGAGATTAGAGATAGAATGTTAGAATATTGGGGCAGTTTGAGCCAGGTTTTGTAATGCCTTTTATGACAAAATTCATATCTAATTTTTCTCAGCCTATGCTAGTGGGAGATTCTGTAAAATATAAATTAATTCATATATTAAATACCACCCCTCCCAACCCCAAAATCAGTTACAAAATTATTATCTTCTATACTTTTGAAGAAGTCTTTTTTACCTGGATTCTGAGAGACCATATAAGAAACATCAGCCACAGCTTTAAGGAAATTTGAAAAATCCAGCATTCCATTAACTATAAAAATGATTCCAAAACAGAAGGGAAAAAAAACTCCATCAGCAAACATTATTAGCAAACTCCCTAAGAACATAAGATAAAAATGGCAACTAAAAATGTAAATAGAATTAACTAATGACATTAGAATACTATTTTCTATACACAGAACAGTAGACATATATAGAATGTAAAAAGAATATTTACCAGAAAAAAATTTACATATTATAATTAGGTAGTAAATAGTGTTCCAGCAGTAATAAGAATGCTATGGGACTAGTACTGTAGATACAGCAGTGCTCTTTGCTCGACTAATTTTTATATTTGTAGTTCTTCAAGGTTCTTCAAGTTAAATAACTATGAATTCATTTTCTCCTGTCATGAAGCAAATGAGCCCAACTTTGACAGGGTTTATTTACATCAGTGATGTTATCTATGTTATGAAGAAAACAAGTATAAATCTATATTTCAATTTAATGTCATCTGAGCAGAAATAGCCTACAGAGGAATACTTAAGGGCTTCCAATCGTCTGCAGAGGAAATGACAAGGCTTGGTTGTTCTCACTTCCATACCACAGAAGCACTTTCTCCAGCACTGAAAAGTCTGTCAAGTTGTCTATCTCCACTTCTTCAGTGTAACAACTTGAGAGTGGGTTCTCCTTTCTTTCAAAAACAGTGAAACATCTGTCCAAATTTTAATGAACTACTTTGACTTGTTTTCTGATATTGTTGTGACTTTGGGTTGGCAAAGATCTTTCAGATAAGATATCAAAAGCAATTCATAAAAGAAAAATTGTAGACTGGACTTCATCAAAAGTATGAACTTTTCCTTTTCTAAAAACATTCTTAAGAGAATAAAAAGTCAAGCCACAGAATGGAATAAAATATCTACGAATCACATATCCAGTAAAAGACTTATATTCAGAATATATACATAATCTCAAAATACAATAATAAGAACACAATTTTTCAATGGGCAAAAAATATACAAATGGCAAACGAGCACATGAAAAGATATTCAACATTATTTAATCATTCAGGAAATGCAAATTAAAACCACAATCAGATAATAACCGTATATCTATTAGAACAACCATAATTTTTAAAGGCTGATCAATTCAAGGATGGCAGGAGCATTAAAAAAAAGCAGTATACAACAATATGAATAAATCTTAGTCACATTTACAACAATATGAATAAATCTTAGTCATATAATATTAAGTGAAGAAAACAAAAGATTATATACAGCATGAAAAACTTTTTACTAAAGTTTTTTAAACAACTAAAATTTTTGAACTATTTTACAAAAATACCTATCCATAACAATAATACTATTTGAACAGAAAAATAAGAGAATAATGAATATAGAATTCAAGATAATTCTTACCTCAGGTTGGGGAAAACAGAATAATAGGTTGCTTAGTAAAGTTTACGGTTAGATGTAAATTATTGACAAGGTCCTACTTTTTATTTTGGGTGGTTGGGTCAAGTACTTATTATATTATTTAAATTACATAACTAAATAAGATTAGACCATGTGTGGAACAATAATGAGAATATGTCATAATCCAATCTAGTAATTAATCAATCCAATTACATAAACCTGAGGCCAATTTTCAATATCATTATTGTAAGCAATGTTCTTGTAACATACAAAAATGTTTCATAATATATAATATGACCAAAAATGATGTTTTTATAATATATTTCAAGGTTTAGCTTTCCAATCATTTGTAATTAATCTGACAAACATATTTATGATTGCAGACCCTTAAACTAATACTGAAAAGATAAAACTTACCATCAATATCAATAGTCTTTAGTGCCTGTCGCATTTCTAAATCACTTATAGAAATTCTCAAGATGCCGAGGATCACTGGAAGATCATTCACATAAATCTTACCACTTCGAATTTTACTAAAAATTTTACAGGCTTTATGAAGTGCTGCACAGACATAACAAAACAGTTAGTTAATTAATCAAAAAGAATAATTATCCTTATTCCCCCAACTATCTTTCAAAAAAATAATAATCACTAAAAGAAAGGGGAGCAAATCTGTATTTTCAGCCTTTCAAACTTCTTTCTTTTTTACCCCACCCTCTTCAATCTTTAAATATTCAAATCTTTCAATCTGTTTCCTAAAGAACTTTCAGAAACTGTCAGAAAAGTCGCACAAGGGCACACAGGCAAAGGCTTCCACAACTTGCCCTGGGAATAGTAAATTTTTCCTCTGTGTTCCCATAGCACTTACTATGTATCTCAGTCAAAGCCCTTGGTATTATGATTGCTTGCATGTCAATATCCCTCACTAAACTGTCAGCTTCTACGAAGCAAGATTTTTCATTCTTCTGTTTCCAGTGCCTAATTAAGAAGAAATTCTCAAAAAAAGTCTATTGAACTGAATTTTTTGGTTCAGTGGATACTACACTTTATTTTCAGAAAAGAGGCAATCAATGATAGTGCTGTTTTTGTTTGTCTTTTTAGAGCCAGAGTTTCTCTGCTGCCCAGGCTGGAATGCAGTAGTGCAATCATGGCTCACTGCAGTCTCAAACTCCTGTCTCGAAATCCTGGGCTTAAACAATCCTCCCACCTCAGCCTCTCCAGTAGCTAGGACTACAGCTGTGTGCCAACATGCCCAACTAATTTTTTGTTTTTATGATTTTTTGTAGAGATGGAATCTCACTATATTGCTCAGGCTGGTCTTGAACTCCTGGTCTCAAATGATCCTCCCACATTGGCCTTCCGAAGTGCGGGGAATACAGGCATGAGCCACCTCACCCAGCCCTGACAGTGATAAATACAAAATAATGACTAAAGAGTTGATAATAATGACTTTAATAAGTTTTAGTAGAATTTTGGAGGTGGAAGCCAGATTTCCATGAAATGGGAAGTGAGAAAATTCAGCAACTAATGAAAACAACTCCTTCAAAAAGCTTTTCTGAGAAACACTGAGTATAAAATTAGCAAAGCATAAACCTTGAGAAAGCAGAAGAAAATCAAGAAACAAAAGGATTAGTCTGGTGAAAGGGCACCTTTTCCAATGAGACAAGATGAAAGGACATGAATGTTGTTTGTAGGTAGGAATATCAAGGAGTTTAGGAAGCTTCCCAATAGCCTTTACTAACTCTCTACGAAAAAGCAAAGCCACATGATCCAATAATCCCACTTCTGGATATTTAGCCAAAAGAATTAAAATCCGGATTTTGAAGAGACAGTAGTACTCCCCTGTTCACTGCAGTACTATTCACAATAGCCAGCCTATGGAAAACAATCTAAATATCTGTGGAAACAACCTAAATGTCAGATAAATAAGGGGGGAAAAAGTATGTTATATACATATAATAGAATATCATTCAGCCTTTAAAAAGAAGAAAATCCTGTCATATGTAATAACATGAATGAATCTGAAGGACATTATGCTAAGTGAAATAAGCCAGTTAAAGAAGGACAAATACTACAGAATTCCAATTATATAAAGCATCAAAAATAGTCAAACTTATGGAACAAAGAATAGAATTGCAGTTGCCAGGAACAGGGGGTATGAGGAAATAGTGAGTTGCTAATCAGTGAGTACAAAATTTCAGTTACATAAGATGAATAAGTTCTGTAGAAATACTGTACAATATTATGCCTATAGATAAGAATAACCTACATTTTTACAATCTGTTAAGAGGGTAGATCTCATGTTAAATATTCTTACCAAAATAAAATTTTTTTCAAAAGAAACAGGGCAGAAAAGATTAAGTTTCATAGATTTCAGACTAGCAAGTTTTAATTTTAATTAAGTAAAACATTTTTAAATGTTTAAAGTTGGATAGGTGACATAATTGAGTATTTGAGGAGAGTAGTGAAGGTTTGGAATAGGTACCAAAGGAAACAGGAGAGATCACACCAAAACTTAAAGTGAATACCAACTGGTGCTAAAGGCAGCTGAGGTTGGAAATCGTACAATCATAACGGCACCAAATGGAGAGGTCAAGGAAATAAAATTCTAAATAAAAAGAGCTGGAAGCATAAGAGATTGTGAGTGAAGAATAAGACATTAAAGTCTGAGATTTTCACATAATGTCAATGTGCAATTTGTGGCCATCAGTGTTGGTCAGGGGAATCAAGGTAAAATAATTGGTTTTGAAAGTGTGAAGCTACAGCAGTATGAGTCACCCATTTGGACACTTAGATACACAATATGACAACCAGAGTTAAGGTAAAAGGAAAACTATGAGAAATTATTCCACAGGTATAAAGGAGAAGCCCAAGATATGGGAGAGGTCAGTGTCATGAAAGCGTGAAGGGTACTATAAGCCTTAAGATACCAAAGAATAAATTCCAGTGATACCAGTGACTCCAGCACTTACTAATTTATCCATGGGATGTAATATGCAGACATTTTTCCAAAAAATACACTTGAACTAGTATAAGCTACATATTATATTTTACCTATCTTAACCAATACAACCAAAGATATTTATGGATTAAACTGTCCACTTTTGCTTCCTCACAGCCCACAGCATTTGCGTATCATGTATTATTACTTGATACCATAAGCCATTAGAATTAGATGAAGAGGCACTAACTGCTGAAACAATTCCTAAAAAGCACATAATAAGGAAATGTATTCAAGAAATTTTAGAACCTCTTATTACCACTTAATTCTTGTGAGTATAAATATCCATGGGTTACTTCATCATATAATGTCATGTAGAGGTTAGATAGCATTTCCTTTTCCCTGTCAAAGAAACAGTCATATTAGAAAGTGGCAATGAAAATATGCAAATTCCATTTTAAAATATTAGCAAACCTACCAATAGTCTGAGATTCATAAGCACCTTTCTTGAAGAACTGTCCAAGTTAAGGAAAATTCCGTATTCTTCACGTCAGAAGTCCCACCTTATTTCTTTTTGAGATATTTTTCTATAAAGTAGAATTTACCCTAGTCTGTAAATAGTGCCCATGACCCACTATCCTTTGACTGTGGTCCAATTTTTCCTATTCTCAATACGAGTCACAGCAAATTTTTAAGGAAGTTATTATAATAAAGCAAACAAGAACATCTTTAAACAGCCAAGGAATCTCAGATTCCATCACTTATCAGTAAAATGTCTGGAAAAGATGATTTATCTAATACTGTAACATGTAAATAACTGAAATCATATAATGTTAGTGTTGGAAGACATCTTAAGAGTCCATTTAGTACAAGATCCTTATACAGATGTGGAAAGTGATGCCCAGAGATGTAAATTTTACAAAAGTCTAAGCATGTGAGGTCAATCAGGACTCAAATCTAAGTCTTCCAATTCCATACACAGTGCTCTTATCTCTACACAATCCTAAGAGCATAGTTAGCATAAAGTACTTGATATTCTTTATGTGGAAGGGATAAATGATTCTGGAAAGAAACACTCAAGTCTGAACCCAACCTTCAAGAAACAGAGCACAAGGATTTAAATACCGAGTAATTGCGGAAGATGTATAAAGAGGTGATGAAGTCTTGTGAAGGCTGTACTGATTCGGCAACTTGCATAAAGAGTTTTCTTTCCTAGTCACCTTCTCCTTTGACAGCTTCAGAAAAGGAGGGATAATCTAGAGCCAAATGCAAGTATGTTAGTGCCTGAGGTCACACTGGTAATTCAGCATTCTTGGATGATAAAACTCTTAAAAGATAATTAATCATACCTTGGCTCCTCATTAATTATGCTTCTGGTGTAAAATTGCCTTTTGTAATTAAATTACATTTAATATAAAGTAAAATTTAAATAAACTATACAATGTTCTTTTGCAAAGCCATGGTTTTCTTAAGTATGCACTTAATCATGTCATTAATAGTTGGTCAATATATAGTAATGGATTTTACAAAGCAGGGAAAACCTATGGTATAGAGAGAACAAGAAGACTCAGTCATCAGACTCTAGGCTATATATAAAGGCTTTGACTTAAGTGCAACGTGGAGAATCAACACAGTTATTCAAATGATACAGGTAATTTTGTTTTTGATTATCTCTATCATTGAGCAAATTATCCACTTAAGATTGCATGTATAAACACGATTCCAAAAAGGCAAGCAGCTAGGTGGAGAGGAAAGTAGCACTTTAGAAAAATGAGAATTCTAATTATAGGTGTCTTCAATTTTACATGGAACCCTGAGCACTGAGTTTTAATGACCATGCAAGATGTGGAAAAAAGACTCTCACGTTACACAAGATTGACAGGAATTGGTACTGAGATGCCACACAGAACCAAAACCTTTAAAAGACAATGTTTTCAGCAAGAGTGGGGAAGGACAAAACTTATCCCCTAATGAAAAAATATGATTAAAACATGTCTCCATCCCAGCTCCAGGTTGGAAAAAAAGGAAGACTATTCCTCCTGATTAGTCATAATCATAACTCTACATATATGAGTTTGGAAGTCAAATCTACACCAAATATATGGGCCAGGGAAACAGAAACCAAAAACTTCATTTAAAATGACCTCTGATTTGTAACACTTCTGAAGCGCATGGCAAAGGAAAAAGCAAAAGCAAATTATCTTTTTAAAAATTCTCTTGAAGAAGGGCAAATTGAAAATTCCCACAGATTTAGATCAATTATATATGAAAGAATGTACAAAATATATATAACACCCAAAGAACAAGTTAATATGAGTGAGAATCAGACAAAACAACAAACACAACATTTAGATCCCCCAAGAATTTCGTATAGTGAATTCATCAGATACCAATCTTGAAATAACTATAGAATATGAGCAAAAAACATGACACACGGCATATTTTAAGAACCATCAAATAAAATTTCTGGAGGTAAAAAATAGAATCACTGAAATTAAAATCCCAAAGGAAAGGTTAAACTGTAGATTAGATTCAGCTAGATAAAGAATAAGTGAACTAGAGAGAAGAGGGGGAGAAATTACCAATAACAAAATCGAGAGACAGAATAGATGAAAAATATGAAGCAATGTTAAAGAATACAGAAAACAGGATGACAAAATCTAATACACATCTAATAGAAGATACAAAGGGACAGTAAAGAGATTGAAAGAGGGGAAATATTCTAAAAGATAAATATATTAGAATTTTCCAGAATTGAAGAAAGGCACGCATTCTCAGATTTAAGAAGCACAGCAAATACTAAGACAGAGGGGAGAAAAGGAAATATACCTCTAAATATATCATAGTGAGCGACAACACAAAAAGATATTCCATGTTCTAATATCTGAAACTGTGAATGTCACCTTATTTGGAGAAAATGTCTTTGCAGACGTAATAAAGTTAAGATCTTGAAATGAAATATACAATGACAGGCGTGCTTGTAAGAGAAAGGAAGAAGGAGATGAGATACAGACACAGGAAAAAAAAGCCATTGTCGAAGACTCATGGGAAGATGGAGGTAATGATGGGAGTTATGTTGCACAAACCAAAGAACCACCTAGGGTTGGGCCGGGCACAGTGGCTCACGCCCTGTATCCCAGCACTCTTGGGGAGGCCAAGGCGGGCAGATCCACGACGTCAGGCAGATCGAGGACCATCCTGGCGAACATCGGTGAAACCCGGTCTTACTATCTAAAATATCAAAATAATTAGCCGGGGCGGGTGAGTGGTGTGGCATCCTGTAGTCCCCAGCTTCTCCGGAGGCTGAGGCAGGAGAATGGTGGTGAACCTCGGGAGGCAGTGGAGCTTGCCAAGTGAGGCGGGATTCGTGCCCACTGCACCCAAGCCTTGGGTGGACCAGAAGCGAGTACTCCCTCTCATAAAAAAAAAGAAGAAAAAAAGAACACCTATGGTTCCTCGTTAAAAAGCAAAAATGGGGCAGGCGTCCGCGGTGGCTCAAGCCTGTAATCCCCAGCACTTTGGGGAGGTCCGAGACCGGGGATCACAGGTCAGGAGAGCGAGGAGCCCACCCTGGCCTAACAAAGTGAAGAACCCGTCTCTACTAAAAATACAAAAACTTAGCCGGGGCGAGGTGGCAGGCGCTGTTAGTCCCCAGCTTTACTCGGGAGGCTGAGGCAGGAGAATGGCGTGAACCCGGGAGCGGAGCTTGCAGTGAGCTGAGATCCGCCCACTGCACTCCAGCCTGGGTGACAGAGCGAGACTCCGTCTCAAAAAAAAAAAAAAAAAAAAAAAAATGTTAGCAGAGAGCACAGTAAAAAAGACAAAAATAAGTTTAATAGAAAAAAAGGCAAATTTTTTCATAAGCTCCTGAAAGATTCCTTGTTCTTTTTTTTTTTTTTTTTTTTAAGAAGAAGGAAAAGGAGAATGAAGAAGAGAAGACAAGGAGCAAGAGGAGGTAGTAATATTTAAGACTGCGACATTTCAACACTTGGACTAAAAAATATAAGGGAATGTTTGAGGGCTAAGGAAAACACTTGAAGGTAAAAGAAAAATTTCCAAATCTTTATTTACCTCAGTTCTTTTACTGTGCTGTTGTACTTGTAAACTCTTTCTCCCACCTTTTTTTCCTACTGAAAAATCAGAGGACTTTTCTTCTCCACAAAGGAATACTGACGTTTCAAATCTAAATGACACAGAAATTGGAATCACTCTTGAATTTCGTTTTGCTTTTTCTTATTCTTTTCAAATTTTAATTATGGAAACTTTCTAACATATACAAAAATATACAGAATCCCATCACCCAGTTTCAACAGTGGCCAATCCTATTCCATCTATATCCCATCCCTGTTCCCATCCCTTATTATTTTTGAAAGAAATCACAGTATATTATTTCATCTGTAAAGATTTTAATAGAAATCTCTACAAGGTGTCTTTTTTTGTAGAGATTGGGCTGGGTGTGGTGGCGCATACCTGTAATCCCAGCACTCTGGGAGGCCAAGCTGAACAGATTTCTTGAGGTCAGAAGTTCAAGACCAGCCTAGCCAACATGATGAAACCCCATCTCTACTAAAAATACCAAAAAAATAGCCGGGCGAGGTGGCGGGCGCCTGTAGTCCCAGCTACTCAGGAGGCTGAGGCAGGAGAATTGCTTGAACCTAGAAGGCAGAGGTTGCCGTGAGCTGAGATCGAGTCACTGTACTCCAACCTGGGTGACACAGCATGACTCCATCTCAAAAACAAAACAAAACAAAACAAAAAAACACCATATGACAGCTAAAAATTAACAATTTCTTAATACCATCAAATATACAGGCAGCATTCACATTTCCAGTTGTCTCATAAATTTCATAAAACTTCTTAACATTTTGCATCAGGACTCAATAAAATCCCAGCATCACAGTTGACTGAAATGTCTTTTTAACTTCTTTTCATCTGTAAGTTCTCCTTCTATACCTTTTACTATCATTATAATTATTATTACTAGGTCATTTGTCTTGTAGATTTTCCACAGTCAGGATTATGCTGATTGTATCACCATGGCTGTAGGATTCTAGACGCTTGAACATATTAAAGTTCAATAGTCGAGGGAGATGCAAAACCACTCTCTAGGTGGTGATGGTGATGTTATTCCATCAGGAAGCACATAATGTCCAGTTGGCTACTTGTGGTATTAGCAGCTACTTATAAATAATAACTAGATCTAGTAAATCATGAGGGACTGGCTGGGCATGGTGGCTTACGCCTGTAATCCCAGCACTTTGGGAAGCCAAGGTGGGCAAATCACCTGAGGTCAGGAGTTCAAGACTAGCCTGGACAATATGGTGAAACCCTGTCTCTACAAAAAAAAAAAAAATAATAATACAAAAATTAGCCAGGTGTGGTGTGGTGCATGGCTGTAGTTCCAGCTACTCAGGAGGCTGAGGCAGGAGAATTGCTGGCAGAGGTTGTGAGCCAAGATTGCACCACTGCACTCCAGCCTAGGTGACAGGGCAAGACTCTGTCTCAAAAATAAATAAATAAAAATAAAAATAATAAATCATGAGAGACTGCAAAGTGGTTATATTATAAATCCATCATTCCTTCAATCATTAGTTAAAATATTTCTTTTTTCTGTGTGTAGAGATGGGATCTTGCTAAGTTGCCCAGACTGGAGTGCAGTAACTATCCGCAGGTGTGATTATAGCACACACTACAGTTTCAAACTCCCAGGCTCAAGTGATTGTCCCACCTCAGCCTCCTGAGTACTGAACTATAAGCACACACCACCATGCCTGGCTACTAGAATACTTCTACAAATAGAAACTTTCTCTCATGTACTATTTGGTTGCCCAGTGGTACAGTTTCATATAGAATGGCAAGATATAGAGAGATTCAACTGATTTAAAAAAAGAAGAAGAAAGAAAGACAAGATAATTGCTCTATTGTTTTCCTTTATTTACCACTTTTCATAACAAAGACTTGGCTCACTTGTAACCTCTAAAAATGACAAAATAATTTTATACCATTTTGAACACATAGACTTAAATGTATTTGATGCAGTTTAATTCCCTGAAATTATTATAGTTATTGATGCTCCAATTTTCTCATCTTTTATAGGAAAAAGTGGGAGCCTCTTCAAGTAGGTTCTTGAGTCCTTCTGATGATGCCCTGGTAGCAGTCTTTTTTATTAATAGTTTCCTTATCTCCGGAAGATAAGATGTTCCAGACTTACTGTACATTTCCTTTCATAGACATGCAATCAGCATTTTTCTAAAGAGCCTTTTAATAAGAAATGGTATTTCAAGACTAAAGTTTGGGCATTAGAAGCTGAACTTCTTTTTAATCAACATTCTTCTTTCTTATTGTTTCTCTTCTTTCTCCTTTTTCCTCTTATTGGACTGTCAAAAACTTTTTTTTTTTTTTTTTTGAGACAGAGTCTTGCTCTGTCACCCAAGCTAAAAGCACAGTGGTGCGATCTCAAGACCTTTCATAACACAAACATTCCATAAACCAGGGTTCCCCAACCTCTGGGCCGTGAACCAAAACTGGTCCACACAGTAGGAGGTAAGTGGCTGGAGAGGAAGCATTACCACCTGAGCTCCACCTCCTGTCAGATTAGCGGCAGCATTAGGTTCTCATAGGGGCACAAACCCTATTGTGAACTGTGCATGCAAGGGATCTAGGTTGTGCCTCCTTATGAGAATCTAATGCCTGATGATCTTCTGAGGTAGAACAGTTTCATCCAGAAACCACCCCTGCCTCCTCCCCATCCCCTTGTCTGTGGAAAAAATATCTTCCATGAAACCAGTCCCTAGTGCCAAAAAGGCTGGAGACCACTGCCATAAACTATACAACAATAAGATAAAATGTAATTATGAATTATATTTGAATTAAATTTTAGAAGAGAAGACACATACTCTTATGTGTGCTTCAAGTAATCCAGGGTAGACTTAAATTTCAAGAACAACTCCTCAGGACAGAGACTAACTAGACTATATCTATGAGAGCTTCAGGTGAACTCAGCCCTAAGCAAAATTGTGACATAAAAAAAAAATTATAATTCATGCCACTCCCCTTTCTTAGCAAGTACCTTGGCCTTTTTTTCCAATTTTATTTATTTATTTTAAGTTGATAGATAAAATTATATGTATTTATTCTGTTTCTTAAATTTATTTTTTAATTGACAAATAAAATTATATGTATTTACGGTATACCCTGCTCCTTTTTTTCTGACTTATTTCTCCAAGAAAAAGTATCTTGCTTTTTTGACACACTATCCCTTTAAATCCAATCTCCCAAATTCATACCCTGTGAACCTCCATACTTTGCTCTTCACTTCCCTGAAGCTGCCAAATGATTAGATCCCTCTGCAGTCCTCTAGTCGCAAAGCAAGGACTTTCAACTATTTTGCCTATGACCTACAGTCAAAAGTACATTTTCTATTGAGGTACAATATACATACACAGAGAGAAGAGGTGCAGTAGAAAGCAAGGGAGAGAGAGGAGGAGGGAAAAGCACTCTAATGTTTTCAATTCTATTCTAACTTATTTATTGGAAAAAAAAAAAACTAGTAGTAAACCAGCTGCAGTGGCTCTCACCTGTAATCCCAGCACTTTGGGAGGCCAAACTGGGAGGACTGCTTGAGGCCAGGAGTTCAAGACCAGCCTGGGCAATATAGTGAGACCCCCACCTCTCCAAAAAATTTTAAAATTAGCCAGGCGTGGTGGTGCACACCTGTAATCCTAGCTACTCAGGAGTCTGAGGCAGGAGAATCCCTTAAGCCCAGGAGGTCCAGGCTGTGATGAGCTATGATCATGCCACTGCACTCCAGTCAGGGTGACAGAGTAAACTCCTTCCTCAAAAAAGAAAAAAAAAAAAAAAAAAAAAAAACTAGTAGTGACCTCCTAAACTGATTTCATGACCCATTAATGAATTGCAACTTGCAGTTTACTGGTGCTTTATATACCCCATATATCCTTATTGAAGTTGAGCCTTCTTATTTCTAGTATAATCATGACTTCCACTCCATTACATGACTTTTGATCTTTCACCTTTTTTCAAAAAATGATAAAGAAAATAAAATTTTAATCTGATGAATGTAAGGCCTCTTTAAATTATCAGGCCCAAAGAGGCATTAAAATGAGATAGCAGTCACTGTCTCACATCCCCTTGAGCTAAGCAATTATTTCAAAGTTGCCTGCTATGTGGACTCTATACTGTCACCAAGTAGCCACAAATTAACCTAACAATGCCATACACTGGATACCATAATTCATACATTACAGTTCAGCACTGTATAGCCAATCACTAATCAATGTTATTTCTGTAAACCAGTGAGAATTCCTGAAAAACAACTTTTGTAATCAACCCATCTCCTGATTGGTACCTTTTTTCTTAAAAACTTGAACCTCTCCTTTGTTCTCCAGAGTACCTCCCAAGTGTTTCCCAGGCTGCAGTCCTCAACCTGGACCCAAACAAACTCTCTACTTATATTAATTTTGCCTCAGTTTCCTTATTTAGGTAAACAAAAGTATAAGTGTATTTTTTAATTATGAGCTGCTTCACACATTTCATAGAATAAGGATGATTTGGTATACATAATGAATAAGTAAAAACATTTGTCCCGTACCCCATTTTTAATTTTTTTTTATTTTTATATATTTAGAGGGCACAAGTGCAGATTTCTCACATGCACATAGGCATTGTGGTGAGTTTAGGCTTTCAGTGTACCCAGCACAAAATTCAACCCTCACCCCTCCTCCCTTTTGTAGTCCCAATGTCTATTATTCTACTCTGTATGTCCATGTGTACCCATTGTTTCGCTCGCACTTACAAGGGAAAACATGCACTGTACCCTATTCTTTTGAGGCATGTGCTTTCCACAGTGCTAACCTATCTTGAACAATGCTAATGGAAGAAGATAAAGGGATGCTTCCACGACCTTCCTTTTCTTTCTAGGTAACAAGTTTTATCATAGTCTTCTAGAAATAATTGCTTCATCTTTTACCATCTACCAAACAGAAGTAGTGGTGAAAACGTTAGATTAAATAAAAGTGAAATACAGATTTCTGGAAGGTAGAGGAGATTTTTATTTAGGTGCCTCTCCAATCATAATGTGTAGGTAATTTCCAGTTTCACCAACAGGTAAGATGAGCATTTAGTTAAAGATAAAGTGACATAAGCTCTGAATGTTTTCCCAGAGGCTTTTGTACTTTTTTTATTTTTCAGTCATTTTATAAATAATAATAAATACAGATTGAGTATTTCTCCTACATGCATATAAAATGCTAGAACTTCTATAACTAACAAAAGGCAACCAGGCAATGCAGCATACAAGAAAGAACTGCTAAAAGATTCAAATAGCTTGGCCAGGCGCAGTGGCTCAACGCCTGTAATCCCAGCACTTTGGGAGGCCGAGGTAGGCGGATCACAAGGTCAGGAGATCGAGACCATCATGGCTAATACAGTGAAAACCCGTCTCTACTAAAAATACAAAAAATTAGCCACACATGGTAGTGATCGCCTGTAATCTCAGCTACTCGGGAGGCTGAGGCAGGAGAATGGCTTGAACCCGGGAGGTGGAGCTTTCGGTGAGCCAAGATCGTGCCACTGCACTCCGCCTGGGCAACAGAGTGAGATTCCATCTCAAAAAAAAAAAAAAGGCCGAGTGTGATGGCGTGCACCTGTAGTCCCAGCTATTCGGGAGGCTGAGGCAGAAGAATCACTTGAACCCAGGAGGTGAAGGTTGCAGTGAGCCATGGTTGCACCACTGCACTCCAGCCTGGGTGACAGAGTGAGACGCTATCTAAAAAAAAAAAGATTCAAATATCTTAATTTCATGGAAGGCACAAAGTCAAGCCAAGAGGAAAGAACCTTCTGTTTCCTTCTTAAATTCTCTTTAAGACAAACTTAATAGACATATGGATAATTGTTCTCCTCTAACTAGAATCCTATGATTCCAGTTAGCTTATAGCTTCCTTATAGGCTTCCACATGTGATACAGTTTGACTCTGTGTCCCTACCCAAATCTCAAGTTGAATTGTAATCCCCAGTGTTGGGGGAGAGACCTGGTAGGAAGTGACTGGATCATGGGGGCAGATTTCCCACTTGCTGTTCTCATGATACTGAGTGAGTTCTCATGAAATCTGTTTGTTTAAAAGTATGTGGCACTTCCCCCTTCATTCTCTCTCCTGCTGGCCTTGTGAAGGTGTGCTTGCTCCCCCGTCCCCTTCCACCATGACTCTAAGTTTCCTGAGGCTTCCCCAGCCTTGCTTCCTGTAAAGTCTGCAGAACCATGAGCAATTAAACCTCTTTTCTTTATAAATTACCTAGTCTCAAGTAGTTCTTTAAAACAATGTGAGAACCGACTTAGACAACATGGAAGCCTATAGACTTCCACATGGTTGCGAGAGAAGTCAGAAAAAATGTAAGAACAGCTATTTAGGAGTTAAAATTATGCTACTGAAAGAATGACCACAAATATGTATGATCCTATACACACGGTACATTATGAGAACACATAAGCTATGTTTTGGCACTCTTAACTTGCAAAAGAATGATTCAATAAAGTAAGTTCAGAGTTTTTAACTTACATTTTTTTATATTCTGGGCTCAAACTCCTAACTTCCGGTGAAATTTTCTTCTCTATTGTTTTAGAAAACTTGATGTATTTCTTGTGGTTAATAGTTCCTGATGGCAAGCCAGTTGCAAAAGAATTAGAGCCATCATCTAAGAAGTCAATATTTTCCTCTGCCTGGGGAATATAAGAGCTACAATCAAGCATGTCATCTTTGCACATACATATTAAATATGAAATTCTGGGTCAAATCATTCATTTTAGATCGATATTCTTTCTCAAATAGTGCTACTGAAGAGAATTTTGATGAAAAAGGTTTTACTCACTAGTGTATTATTTTTCCAGATTCAGTACATACTCTAAATAACTCCAATTTTCCATAGTGCAATATACAGCTATAAAATGAACATCATGTATTAATATATCTAACAGTTATTTAATCTAGTAATTTTTCTTTTTTTGAGACAGCGTCTCTTTTTGTTGCCTAGGGTGGAGTGCAGTAGTGCAATCATGGCTCACTGCTGCCTTGACCTCCCAGGCTCAAGCAATTCTCCCACCTCAGCCTCCTGAGAAGCTGAGACCACAGACATGCACCATCACGCCTGGCTAATTTTTTTATTATTTGTAGAGATGAGGTCTCTCTACATTGCCAAGGCTGGTCTCAAACTTCTGAGCTCAAGCAGTCCTCCCACCTCAGCCTCCCAATGTGCTAGGACTACAGGCATGAGCTACCTCTCCCAGCCTGGATCTAGCTCTTAAGGTATCAAGGTACAAAAGATTATCATACTCTTTGCCAAGCAAGGTACAAAAGTTTATCATACTCTTTGCAAAGTAGTATTTTTATTATAAAAATTAACTCAATTTTAGATACAAACCAAAGCCATGATCCATGAAAAAAATAATCAGTAAGTTAAACTTCATTTAAATTAAAAGCTTCTGCTCTGTGAAAGACACCATATCAAGACAATGGAAGGAGAAGTCACAGACTGGGAGAAAATGTTTTCAAAAGACATATCTGATAAATAACTGTTATCCAAAATATACAAAGAACTCTTAAAACATAATAAAAAAGAACTCAATTTTAAAATGAGCTAAAGACTTGAACAGATACCTCACCAAAGAAGATGTACACAAACATGGTAAATAATGACATGAAAAGAAGCTCAACATTACAATGGGATTAGGGAACTGCAAATTAAAAGGAAACACCATTATAGACCTGTCAGAATGATGAAATTTTAACAAAAAACTATAAAACTTTGATAAAAGAAACTGAAGAAGACACAAATAAATGAGAAAATAGCCCAAGTTCATGGATTCAAAAAATTAATATTGTTTAAATGTCCATACTATCCAATGCTGTTTACAGATTCAATGCAATTTCTCTCAAAATTCCAATGTCATTTTTCACAGAAATCAAAAAATTCCAAAATTCATATGGAACCAGAAAACACCCCATATAGCCAAAGGAATTTTAAGCAAAAAGAACAAAGTTGGAGGCATCACACTTCCTAATTTCAAAACAATTATAAAGCTATAGTAATCAAAACAGAATGTTACTGGCATAAAAACAGACACACCAACCAATAGGACAGGATAGAAAGCCTAGAAATTTTCCAAATATTTACATTCAGCTGATTTTCAACAAAGGTGCCAAGTACACACAATGGGGAAAGAACAGTCTCTTCAATAAATGGCATTGGGAAAACTGGATATCCCCTGAAGAAAAATGAAATTGGGACATCATCTCACACCATATACAAAAATAAATTTAAAATGCATTAAATATTTAAACACAAGACCTAAAACTGTAAAGTTACAAGAAGATGGGGGAAAAGCTCTACCACATTGGTCTGGGGAATGATTTGTTGGATAAGACTCTATAAGCACAGGCAACAAAAGCAAAAATGGAAAATGGGATTATATGAAACTAAAAAGCTTCTATACAGCAAGGGAAACAATCAACAGGGGAGAAACAACCCACAGAAGGGGAGAAAATATTTGCAAACCCTACATCTGTTAAGGGGTTAAGGGGTTTATACCCAAATTACATAGGGAACTCAATTCAAGCAAGAAAACAAACTATCCAATTAAAAAATGTGTGAAGGATCTGAACAGACATTCTCAAAAGAAGACATACAAATGGCCTACAGGTTTGTGAAAAAATGCTCAATATCACTAATTATTAGGGAAATGCAAAATAAAACCACAATGAGATATCATCTCACACTATTCTGTTAGATATTCTGTTAGAATAGCTATTATCAAAAAGACAAAGGAAACAAGTGTTGGCAAGGATGTGGAGAAAAGGGAACATCTGCACACTGTTGGTATGAATGTTAGTACAGCCATTCTAGAAAACAGTATGGAGGTTCCTCAAAACCTAAAAACAGAATTACCACATGATCCAGCAATCCCATTTCTGGGTACATATCCAAAGGAATTGAAATTATTCATTTCAACTCCCATATTCATTTCAGCATTATTCACAATAGCCAAGATATAAAATAACCTAAGAGTCCATCAACAGATGGATACATGAAGAAAATGTGGTGAATATACACAAATGAATACTATACAGCTTTTAAAAAGAAGGAAACTCTGTCATTCACCATAACATGGATAGAACTGGAAGACATTATGCTAAGCAAAGTAAGAGGCACAGAAAGACAAACACTATATGATCTCACTTACATGTGAAATCTAAAAATGTTGTTCTCATAGAAAGAGGGAGTAGAAAGATGGTTATCAGAGGTTGTGGGGTGGAGAGGTTTGAAGGAGGAAGAGGGATGGGGAATGGGAAGACATTGATCAAAGGGTACAGAGTTTCAGTTAGACTGGAGGAACAACTTTTAGTGATCTAATGCATTGTATGGTGAACATGGTTAATAAATAATATATACTTCAAAATCACTAAAATATTGTTTATGTTCTTACCACAAAAAAATAAGTTGGTAATGAATATGTTAATAGCTAGATTAACTATTTCTATAATGTATACATAGATCAAAATACTACATTATGCCCCATAAATACACACAATTATTATTTGTCAATTTAAAATAATAATAAAAAACTCAATTAAGGAAAAAGAATGGCAATAATCCAAAACACTGACAACAACAAATGCTGGCAAGGATGTGAAGCAAGAACTCTCATCATTGCCGATGGGAATGCAAAATGGTACGACCACTTTGGAAGACAGTTTGGCAGTTTCTTACAAAACTAAACATGCTTTTACCATACAATTCAACTATTGTACTTGTTGGTATTTACTCAAACAAGTTGAAACTTTATTTCCACATAAAAACCTACAATTGGATGTTTATAGCAGCTGTACTCATAATTACCAAAACTTGAAAGCAATCAAGATGTCCTTCAGTAATTAATAAGTAAACTGTGTTAAATGTAGAGAATGGGATATTTATTTAGTGCTAAAAAGAAACGAGCTATCAGGTCTTGAAAATACATTTTAAAACTTTAAACACACATTAAGTGAAAAAAGCCCGACCTGAATGGTTCCATATTGTATAACTCCAACTATACAACATTCTGGAAAAGGCAAAACTATGGAGATGGTAAAAAACCAGTGTTTGCCAGGAGATGGGGGAAGGAGAAGTAAATAGCTAAAGCACAGATGATTTTAGAGCAAAAATAATAATCAACACAGTAAACAGACAACCAACAGAATGGGAGAAAATATTTGCACACTATACATCCAACAAAGGACTAATATATAGAATTTACAAGGAATTCAAACAAATCAGCAGAAAAACCACAAGTACTCCCATTAAAAAGTAGGAAAATAACCTGAACAGATATTTCTCAAAAGAAGATATACAGTCAACAAATATATGAAAAATGCTCAACATCACCAATCACCAGGGAAATGCAAATTAAAACCACAATGAGATATCACCTTACCCCAGCCAGAATGGCCATTATTAACAAGTCAAAAAACAATAGATGTTGGTGCAGATGGAATGAAAAGGGAAAATTTATATGCTGCTAGTGGGAATGTAAATTAGTATAATTTCCACAGAAAACAATATGGAGATTTCTCAAATAAATAAAGGTTGATCTATCATTCAATCCAGCAATCCCACTACTGGGTACCTACCCAAAGGGAAAAAAAAGTCATTGTATCAGAAAAAAACAAAAACAAAAACACCTAACATATATGTTTATCTCAGCACAATTCACAATACCAAAGGTATGGAACCAACCTAAGTGTCCATCAACTGATGAGAGGTTAAAGAAAATGTGGTATATATACTATGGAATACTACTCATCCATAAAAAAGAACAAAATAATGTCTTTTGCAGCAACTTGGATGAAACTGGAGGCCATTATCCTAAGTGAAGTAACTCAGGAACAAAAAAACAAATGCCGCATATTCTCATTTATAAATGGGAGCTAAGCTATGGATCCAAAAAGGCATATAGAGTGATAGAGATTCAGAAGTGGAGAGGGGGCAGGGAAGTGAAGGATGAAAAACTACCTGTTGGGTACAATGTATACTATTCAGGTAACAGGTACACTAAAAGCCCAGACTTCACCACTGTATAATTCAGCCATGTAACCAAAACCCACTTGTACCCCTGAAGCTATTGAAATAAAAAATATTAAATAAATAAATATCTTTCTCTACAAAAAAATAACAAAAAACAAAGCCTATATTAAAAAAAAAAAGAAGACGCTATATTGCTTCTAAATAGACACTCTTCCCACCCCCGCAAAAAAAAGAAATGAGTTTAGTGACAATAAACATGTTTAGAAAAAGAGGAATGCAGTTGGAAATATTCTCTCCTGAAATTTGGCTGTTTGCTTAAGACACCTGGCAGCATCCAGTGGATCAAAGGTGTATTAGTCCTGAGCCTCTGAACCCAAAGTTGACCCTGAAGATCACACAGACAATTTATAAAGATTACCAAGAAAGTTTAGAGAGAATCTCTATTTCCACAGGATGGAAATTAGCAGAACTATTTCAGTGACTTTTAGACTCTGCATCATTTGTCTTATAACAAAGGCATACCTTTAGATTGTTTCAAAAAGGCAATTCGATTTGCTGCCTTGATGAGATGTGTATTACAAATGATGAACAGATTCCTAAAAAGATTGAAAAAAATGACCCAAAATAGAAAGCAGAGGGGGAAAAGGGGTAGGAAATCTAAAAAGACAGAAAAACCTGTTACCAAAGGCCAAGTGAATGAAAACGAAGAGTGAGTAGAAGCTTTTGACACAGAAGAAGAAAAGAATCTTGGAAACACTGTAGTAAAAGGTAAGCCATCTGGGAAGTATAAATTACACAGTCTAAGGAAAACAAACTGGTATGATACTTTAATATTAATTTTTAAGAATTCATCTTCAAAATCATTTTATAAGGGCAAAATCAACAAAGTAGTAAGTATAAAAAGGTAAACTTTAAATGTATATATGTGTATATATATGATATAAAGTACATATCTCAGCACTTTTCAAGTCTCTGAGATTATTTTTCAGACTATATTATAGGTATATGTTTTACACAGTAGCGTCAGATCTTCTACAAGGATAAATTTAAAAGATTAGGACTCTCAATTGACAATGCTGAATTTCACTTGAGCCCTAAACTCCCAGAAAACAGTGAGGGTTAAAGGAATCCCCCCACCCTTTTGTGTTCTGGAAAATGGCTTACTGTAAACCACCCCTCCCCATATGACTTAGGTAAGACTCTGGAATGCCCCCCTTGTTTACTTATGACAATGCAAGACACACCCCCTCAAAATTCCCTTTCTTTGCATCATAAATTATTAGCTGAATTGTTTTATCCCCACTGATAATCAGAACAAAATAGACTGACTTCATGATAAAATACCCTCCAATTTACTTATATAATCATTCTACTGTTTCATCCCGTTTTCCCACACCTGGTTCTTTCCAGCCTCTCTCTATAAAAGAAAACTCCTGCCCAACCCTTGAGACACCTGCAGATCTTACAGTCACAGCATTCTTCCCATTGCAATAGTCCTCCTCCTCTTCCAATTTCAATAGTCCCTTTCTTCCCTTGCAATAATTATTTTGAATAAAGTCTCTGCTTACTAAGTCCAGATTTGTTTTTATTTGAAAAAATTTGGTCTTATTTGACAGAAATACCTAGCCAAAAAAAAAAAAAAAAAAGGGCAGAGGCAGTCTAAAAGACAGGGCATAAAAATCTGAAGCACAGATAAGATGGCTAAAGAAATTTGATGTCCTCTACATTATTTTTTGGTTATACTCTCACATCATTAATTACATTATCTACAACCTCTCATGTAAGTTTAACCCTTTTGATCTCCACAAAACTTATCCACCAAAATACTCTCATTGTACACCACAGAAGATCTCTCAGTATTATATGGGTTGTTGGGATGGGAGTTCAATATATGTTCACTAAAATGACTCAAAAGTCATCTCAGTTATTCAGCCAGTTCCTTATAACTATTACTCTATGAATTTGCTTACTGATCATGAATATGAGGTAATATAAACTAATTTTAAAAAGAAGAAATCTTTAGAAACTGTTTTAAATACCTGGCAGAAAAAATGTATGTTAGTTTCCATCTTTCTGTTTAGAGGTAAATTCTGTCCTTAAAGAATCCAGGCTTTGATGAACAAGTATGAATGAGCAATAGTACAAAAGGATTTCCTGCCAAAAAAAAAGAGAAAGAAAAAATCATATGCTTGTTTAGGACACTTAAGCAATTATATTTACCTACCTGAAGTTATCTCTTCAATGTAACACTGACTTGGGGTATGATACACAGTATTTCACCAACACAGATATGTGGGCAAACACTAGAAAAAGCAGTTAGTAGACTATAAATCACAGATCATCCAGTTCCTTAACTTTATCTTTTGTGGTATGAGGAGAAATCCAGTTTCAAATGGCATACAAAGCAAAGAAATCCAAGTACATCTGTTTATTTAAATAAACCCTGAGAAGCAGAACTGCTAAGACAGTAGTAATCACTCATGTTACTGCATGCTCACTGTGTGCTAAATATGATAAAGACTTAAGAGATCAAGTTTCCCAAGATCACACAGCCAGCAAATAGTGGAGACAGAATTTGAATTCAGACAATTTAACTCCAAGCCTGTGGTCTTCAGTCCCATAGAACATTGCCTCTCAAAACAATGCTACTGCAAACAAAAGATGTTGTAGGCCAGGTGCGGTGGCTCACGTCTGTAATCCCAGCACTTTGGGAGGCTGAGGCGGGCGGATCACGAGGTCAAGAAATCGAGACCATCCTGGCCAACATGGTGAAACTCTGTCACTAATAAAAATACAAATCAATTAGTCGGGGGTGGTGACATGCGCCTGTAATCCCAGCTACTCAGGAGGCTGAGGCAGGAGAATCGCTTGTATCCGGGAGCTGGAGATTGCAGTGAGCCAAGATCGCACCCCTGCACTCCAGCCTGGGATATACAGCGAGACCATCTCAAAAAAAAAAAAAAGCCAGGCATGGTGACTCACACCTGTAATCCCAGCACTTTGGGAGGCCAAGGGAGATGGATCACGAGGTCAGGAGTTCAAGACCAGCCTGGCCAAGATGATGAAACCCCATCTCCACTAAAAATACAAAAATTAGCCGAGTGTGGTGGCACGCGCCTATAATCCCAGCTACTCAGGAGGCTGAGGCACAGAACTGCTTGAAGCCGGGAGGTAGAGATTGCAGTGGGCCAAGATCACATCACTGCACTCCAACCTGGGTGCAAGACTGAATCAAAAACAAAAAGAAAGAAAAGATGGTGTAGCCTCACTTCAAACCAAAGACTATCACATTATGCAAAAGTGATAACCAACACTTAGAAATTCCTCAAATTTTCACATTTTCAACTCACATCTGAGTTACATTGGATGAGCTAATTTATCACAGTGCCAGCCATATCACATTATATTACACTGCTAGTTATAATCATGTCTTTTTCTTGTAAAGTTTAGCTGCAAGTATTAATATTCTAACGAAGACAGAGTATTTAAAATCATTTTTATTTATTTCTGACGTATGTTAATAGTCATTATTTTTCAATGTGATATGTCCAACATTCCTGGAATTCAAAATATGTTAAAATAAAATAGAAGCATATTGAAACTACCTATCTCAGAAAATATCTGAAAAACATGCAGGTCTCCCCAGTAACCCATCCTATGTAATCTCTTCTAGATCTTCTCCAACCAGTTGAATCTTTACCCCTAAACTACTGTGCACAGCACTTAATGTCTTCACTATTCTTGTCTTCACTATTTAACTGACATTAATCATTTGCCTTGTATTTGTATTTAATTTTCATATGTATAGCTCCTATACCAACTATAGCCAAATTTATAAAGAACTGGGACTGGTAACTTATCATTCTTAAAATTATTTCTCATAGTATCAGATACAATGGTATATATACAATGAAGGAAAGAGTAAAGGAAAGGAGGGAAGGGATGGAGGGAGGGGAAAAGAGAGGGAGAGAGGGATGAATGAACAAATTCCCTTCCTACTAAGCTACTCATCAAAAGTTCTTGTTTTTTGTTTTGTTTTTTGGGTTTTTTTTTTGAGACGGAGTCTCGCTCTGTCGCCCAGGCTGGAGTGCAGTGGCTTGACCTCGACTCACTGCAAGCTCTGCCTCCCGGGTTCACGCCATCCTCCTGCCTCAGCCTCCCGAGTAGCTGGGACTACAGGCACCCGCCACCACACCCGGCTAATTTTTTTTATATTTTTAGTAGAGACGGGGTTTCACTGTGTTAGCCGGGATGGTCTCGATCTCTTGACCTCGTGATCCGCCCGTCTCGGCCTTCCAAAGTGCTGGGATTACAGGCGTGAGCCACTGCGCCCGGCCGCTCACCAAGAGTTCTTAAATCATCAGAGTGCTTAATTAAGCAGAGTTGATACGTTTTGAATAAATCTTGAAAGGAACAATTGTTCTGTAATTTATTGACCAGATTACCAAAAAGTTGGCAGGTCTTAATTTGCTGGATGAATCAGGTACCGCATAAGCCTCTCCAAACTTAAAAGAAAAAATTAACTTAGAAAGTCTATTCCCTGTAACTCTGACAATATAATTGTTTCTCAGCTGTTTCAAACTTATCTTCTATCTGTGAATTTGCAGGAACAAATCAAGAGAAATGGAGGAAGTCGTATCCCTCTTCTCCAGTCATCTATCCATTCACCTTTCTATCCATGAATTCAATGTATATGTCTGCATGCTTAGTATGAACTAGGTTCTCTCCCAGGCTCTAGGAATACAGCAATGAACAACAACAACAAAAAATATATATAGAGAGAGAGAGAGTTATGCTATTAAGAGAAATAAGGTAGTAACTGAGGAGAAAATGGGGCTGTGACGGTTTAAGATGAGAAAAACAAAGGCGGCTTCACTGAAGTGTGACTCTGTATGACATCCCTTCACAAAATACTTTCCTCTTTCATGCCACATTTCCCTCACAAGCCGCCCCACTCGCTCGCTTTTCCCTCGCTAGAGGGACTGAAAACGTCATTAACACCAACTGCATACACAACTCCATCGCAGCCACTGCCATTCACGAACGTTCAAACACTCATCACCCTGTTTTCGTATTTGTGTAACAAACGTTGAATGAACCTCCACCTCTTCCAAGAACCCACGCTGAGGTGGCTTCCCATAGACCCTGGCCTTATGAAGCCAACGACTTCTACGGGAAGAAAGAGGACCTGTAAGCTAGTGCGCGAACGACCCGCAAGCTGGAAACGGGTGCCCTAATAGAGGTCTCTGCCTCACGCTGAAGGAGCAGGGAAGTGAACCAACACCCGGGACCGCCAGCCTTCTACAACGACCACCATTTCTGAGGAACCACCTGATCAGTCCCAGTCACCCTTCACTCTGCCCCTTTGTCCCACTCGGTCCCCTCACGGTTCCTTTCTGGAACCTTCCTTCACCCAGCCCCACCACTGTTCTCCTTCCTCCCTCGCACCCTACTGCATTCTCCACTCTCCACCTCGAAGGCTCCCCTCCCAACTCCTCAGCGGGTCTCGCCTCCCCTCACCACCTCTGTCCCCCGAGGGTCCCACTACCGGCCCAAGCTGCCCTCCCCTCCCTCTTGTCTCCAGGACCCCGCGCTCTCTGCGGTCAGCCCCTGGGTCCCCTCCGGAGGCGCGGCTCTCGCTCCGCAGCCTTCTCAGGCTCCCGCGCAGCGCGGCCCCGCCCCCGCGGTCACCTGACCGAGCCCGACGCTCCGCCCACCGAGCGCCCCGGTCGGAGCGGGCCCGGGACCCTAGCGGCGGTGGAGCCGGTGCTGTCACGGCCACCGCTACTGCCCAGGGGCTCCGGGGCCGTGCGGGAGCGGCTGAACTCAACACCGCCTCCGCGCCGACTGAAAGGCGCTGCGGCCGCGCCCGCCTGCCCCACCTCATAAGGGCCTGTGACTTCACGAGGCTGGCCGCCGGGCGCTGCACTCGAGCGGCGGGGGCTCCTGTCCGTGCGCTTTCCTACCGCAGCCCCGGCCTCGACTCCGCCCTCCGTCCTTGCCACCCGCTCGCCACTCTTCCCTAACCGCTGTTCATTCTCCGGTGCGCTATCCCGCCATGGTCTGACCCCCAGTTCAATTTTATCTTCAGTCCATCCTTTGAACACCCCGACCCCCGACCCCTTTCTTCTAAAACATTCCATCCTTCCTGGCTTCTGCTACTCAATAATGGACAGCAGCTCGAAGGCCATGTGTCCCACGGCTTTGCTGAAATTTGTCTCGGGTTGCCTTTTAGGAGACTGTCGTTTCCTTTTGAAAGAGATAATTTGGTGGGTTTGGTTTTATTCTGTGTTTGTTTTTCCTATGTATTTATTGTATGCAGTTGGGCAAAATATTTATGCTGAGTTTCGATTTTCTCATTCTTCCAGGGTTGTGGGAGTTCAAAAATATATACGTAGTGCTCAATAAATATTACAATATTTAATCCCTTCCGTGATACTACTATGTTCATTTATATCTTAAACCTTGCTTTGTAGGCATTCTTTAATATTTTATTTTGATTTTTATTATTAAATATATAGACAAATCATAATTGTAAATATTTAATGGGGTACAATGTGATATTTTAATATATGTATGTAATATGAAATGACTAAGTCAAGCTTAACATACCCATCACCTCATTTAACGTTTTTTATGGTGAGACATTTGAAATTTACTCTTAGCAGTTTTGAGATATATGATATATTATTATTAGCTATGGTCACCACACTATGCAATAGATCTCAGAAACTTGCTGCTTTTGTCTGACTGAACCTTGTACCCTTTGAACAGCATCTCCCCATCCTCCATCTCCGACCTGCCCCGTCCCTTCCCAGCCTCTAAGCACTATTCTACTGTCTACTTATATGAGTTTGACGTTTTAAGATTCCACATATAAGTGAGATCATGTGGTATGTGTCTTTCTGTGCCTGGCTTTTTTCACTTAGTATGTCCTCCAAGTTCATTCATGTTGTCACAAATGACAGAAATTCTTTTTTAAGGCTGAATAGTATCCATTGTATATGTTTACCACATTTTCTTTATCCATTCATCCATTGGTGGACACAGGTTGATTCCATTATCTCAGCGATTGTGCATAATGCTGAAATGAACATGGAAATGCAAATAAGTCTTTGATATACTGATTTCAGTTACTCAATATATGTCCAGAAATAGTGTCGCTGGATCATATGATAGTTCTATTTTTAATTTTTTGGGAAACCTCCATATAGTTTTCCGTAATGGCTGTAATAATACCAACAGTGTAAAAATTTTCTCCACATCCTCACCAACACATTATTTTTCATCATTTTGATAATAACCTTTTTTTTTTTTTTAAAGAGTCACTTTGTTGCCCAGGCTGGAGTGCAGTGGCGCAATCTCAGAGCACTGCAACCTCTATTTCTGGGTTCAAGCGATCTTCCTGCCTCAGCCTCCCAAGTAGCTTGGATTACAAGCATGTGCCACCACACTTGGCTAATTTCTGTATTTTTAGTAGAGATGGGGTTTCACCATGTTGGCCAGGCTGGTCTCAAACTCCTGACCCTCAAGTAATCTGCCCACCTCAGCTTCCCAAAGTACTGAGATTATAGGTGTGAGCCACCACACCCAGCTTAATAGCCATGCTAACAGGTGTGAGGTGATATTGTAATTTTATTTTGCATTTCCCTAATAATAGTAATTTTTTTTTTTCACAAACCTGTTGGCCATTTGTATGTCTTCTTTTAA